GTGCCCTTTGTTCCTTTCCCCATTGGCACCGTAGGATTTAACTTCTGAGCTTAGGGGAGTCTGCTGCCAAAACTGGAACAGATTTCCATCCTCCCAGCAGGTGATAATGTGCCGGGAAATCGTTCACAGAAATCCTGTCAATTTTTGCTGTATTCTTTTTGTGTCTTATCAGCCACCTAAAGAGAGCTTATAGATGTACCTCTGGCCATGATCTTTCTTCTGAACAGCCTAGATTTTCTTCTCATCAGTAAAACCTAGTATAGCAGCTGCAAGAGTTAATGTACCCATGAATCTAAATACCCTCCTGCCTTCCCAGAATAAGGGCCACACGCCTAAGGACTCTCCTAACCCAGTGCCCACCTGAGTTTTGGTCGGGAGATATGGTTTGGGTAGGCTCCTTTCTGACTGTCATATGGCCACCCCAGATTTGCTGCTATACTTCACATATCTACTCTTCTGTAGAGGTATTACATTTCACAGCAGTGAGAGCATCAATCAGTTTCCCCTCACAGCAGCGATTGATTGATTGATTGATTGATTGATTGATTGAGTTTGAGACGGAGTTTTCACTCTTGTCACCCAGGCTGGAGTGCGATGGTGTGATCTTGGCTCACTGCAACCTCTGCCTCCCAGGTTCAAGTGATTCTCCTGTCTCAACCTCTTTAGTAGATGGGATTGCAGGCATGTACCACCACGCCTGGCTAATTTTCTTTTGTATTTTTAGTAGAGACAGGGTTTCGCCATCTTGGCCAGGCCAGGCTGGTCTCGAATTCCTGACCTCAGGTGAATCACCTGCCTCCGGCCTCCCAAACTGCAGGAATTACAGGCGTGAGCCACCACACTCAGTCCTCAGCATGGATTTATACTGCCCCAGGCTTCACCTACCCTAAAAAGGGTCATTGAAATTACACCTGCCAGTAATTCCTGAATGATAACACTGCAGCAGATTGGGGGTTAGCATTCACACCAAACATTACTTTTCACACTATAGCATCCAAAAACATGTTATTAGCTCCTCAGTCAATTAAACTAAAGATCCAGGAAAGCATGAATTCCCTAGAGAACTGCTACCACTTCTTAGCAAAGTGACCCAGTTTCTTTATGCTTTGTCCAATTTGGTAGCTACTAGCCACATGTGGTTATTAAGCACTAGAAATTTAGTCTGAATTGAGACATACTGTGAATGTAAAACACATGCCAGGTTTCAAGGACTTCGTATGAAATAGAGAATGAAAACTATCTCATTTTTTACTTCAATAGATGTTGAAAAGATATTGTGAACATACTGAGTTAATTTTTTTTCAAACTGAAATTATTTTGACCTGTTTCCTTTAATTTGTTAAATGTAGCTAATGTAAACATTAAAATCACACACATGGCTTTTATTTGTGGCTCACATTATGTTTTTATGGAACAGGGCTGCACTATAGTCACTAGTTTGCAGTGTCACTTGCCTGGAGTTGCAGAAGGGAATATTAAAATTAAGTGTGGTGTCCTTCCAAGTACCAACTGGGCTTTTGTTTTCATCTTGAGCTCAGGTCATGAAGCTGCTTGCTTTACTGGCTGTGTCTTTCCCTTAAGTAGTTTGTTTCATGAGGATGATTTTTTTTTCTTTTCTTTTTTTTTTTTTTTTTTTTTTTGAGACGGGATCTCTCACTCTGTAACCCAGATTGGAGTGCAATGGCACAATCTTGGCTTACTGCAGCCTCTGCTTCCCGGTTCAAGCAATCCTCCCACCTCAGCCTCCAGTTAGCTGATCCCTCAGGCGCCCACCACCTCACCTGGCTCATTTTTCGTAATTTTGATAGAGATGGGGTTTCGCCATGTTGGCCAGGCTGGTCCCCAACTCCTGAGCTCAAGCAATCCACCTGCCTCAGACTCCCAAAGTTCTGGGATTATAGGCATGAGCCTCCACCCCCAGCCCCCAAAATTATTAATAGGAAACAAGGAATTAACTGTCTCTTGAGCCACTTTCCCCTCAGTTTTATCTCACCGATCATCCATCTACCAATTCAACAGGGGATAAACCTGTGCCATCCAGATTCCAATAGTAAAATTCAGCATGTTATTTTCTGTAGCACTTTGACTACCTCAAAACCAGGTTGGATCAGCATTAGATTCTCCTCAGAACTCCCTCCTGGAACATTTGGTCATATTGAGTCTCAAAGTTTGAAAGCCTGGTCAGCTTTTGTCCACCACTGCTGAGATTTGGGGCTCCAATTGTCATACAGACTCTCAGAACACTCATAGGTTTTAATCTAACCTTATGTTCACTCAGTCTCCTAGGAGGACGTGAGGCAGGAAACCCATCAGGCCTCCAGCATCTGCCTCGCACAGGAGACTCAGCAAGTTCTCAAGAGCATAGCTTCTTTTGCCTCTCATCACACAGGACACATAGGTACAGCTGCCATGGACAAAAGTCAGGGTGTATATGATCACCTTCACACAGAGAATCACAGCCTTTGTTCCAAACCACACTTGTACACCACCTAGTTACTTGGGCCAAAGATCTTCAGGCCAATGCACAGCTCCCCCAATGCAGGTGCAGCCCCTCACAGTAAATAAGGCCGACTCCAATTCCCTCTGTAGCTTACCTCTATTGTTTTCAAGGAAATGATGCTTTAGGAATTAGGGGTCATTCTCAGCACTCCTGTAACAGCCCAGGCTGGATGTCAACTCTTTACTCACACTCAGGTATATGGAAAGATACAATTGAGAAAAATTCAATTGCTCACTAATATGTTAATTTTAAATAGATTATCTCTGTTTTGAGATGAGCAGCTAAGGTCTCTAAAGATTTTAAAATAAGTTATTCATAACAGATAATTAGAAAGGTAATCAATGAATTCTGCTTTACTAAGCACATCAGCTATAATCCTGATATCTGAGCATTTTGATAACGAATTTCTCAACTGCTTCAGTTAACATGTCAACACCTCATTGGAAATGCTCCCTGAAAAGTTATCTTTTGTCTTACTTTGAGATAGATTTTTTTAACACATAGGTTGCTATAGTTTAAAAGCCTATTTTATACTTCAACATTCAGCTGATTTATACACAAAATAGTGCAAATTACCCAGGTAGCCTACATTTTCCTTTAGAAATGCACACACCAGCATGATTTTCTAAGTTATAAGGATACTATTTTAGCACTTACATAAGAATGATTTAATTCCAATTTGTAAGATATGGAAAACTTTAAGGCAAATTATAAATTTGCCTTAAAATTTTCATGGATGCCAAAGAAATGGTAGTCTAAATGAACATGCTTATTAAAGAATACTGGAAAATTGATTTTCAATTTTTGCAAGCTTACAACAGTAGTCTCAGGCAGTTTGGACTGCCCGTTTTTCTTTCAAACTTGTGTCCTCCAAATTCAATTGCTTATATATTCTAGAGTCAAAATATTTTCCAATAATCACATACTTTTGTTTTTCAGGTGGAATCATGTTACTTTCATAATTCCCCAAATAACTATTTTATACCTTACTATATCAACTTTGGTCATCTTCTCATTTTAGAATCCATAATAACTTCTATTTTTTCACTTTCATACTTTATAATATATTATTCATTGAGGAGCTACTTTCACAGAACCAACATAATTTTCCTTTTCTTTTTTTCTTTTTTTTTTTTTTTCTTTTTTGCAGACAGAGTCTCACTCTGTCGCCCAGGCTGGAGGCCAGTGGCGCGATCTCGGCTCACTACAACCTCCACCTCCAGGGATCAAGCGATTCTCCTGCCTCAGCCTCCCGAGTGGCTGGGACTACAGGCCCGTGCCACCACACCCAGCTAATTTTTGTATTTTTAGTAGAGACGGTGTTTTAGTATGTTGTCCAGGATGGTCTCGATCTCCTGACCTCGTGATCCACCTGCCTCAGCCTCCCAAAGTGCTGGGGTTACAGGCACGAGCCACTGTGACCGGCCCATAATTTTCAAGAGTTCAAGCCAATTATTTTACCTTTTATATTATTATGAAAAAGTATTATCATAGGAGAGAGATAACAACGTTATTAAATGTCTACTCATCTTTTAGACCTTCAATTTAGTAATCAAATAAACCCTTACTCATTGGTAGACAGCTATCATTACATTCTAAATAAATGTATTAAAGTAAATTATCAATTTGCATTATGTTATTAAATATTATCTTTCATAAGCATACTTCATTTATTATATATTATTAAATAATTTTTATTTAAATTTTTCTTTAAGTCCTTTCATTTACAAACATGGAAAATTATCTTCAGTTTGCCACATTTAAAAGAGATGATACTTTTTAGAAGAACATAGTAATAATAAATTTATGTAAAGTTTATGTTCTTAACATGAAATAAACTTCTGCCAGATATAATTCACAATTTCAACCAAACTAATGTGCCTGAAAGGTAGTCATATATAAACTAGAATACATGACTATCTTCTAAGTATTCCCCAGAGGTTAGTGTAAAACAGAAAAGTAGCATACAGGGAGAATAACATAAACCAAGCAGTATTATGGAACTAGACTGTATTTTCTGAGGAATTGACTTCGAATTGAAAGAAAAAGCTTGGAAAGGTTTGTCTCCATGAGAAAGAAAAATTCAGTCAATGATCCTGGTATGCTCCCCTTCAACATCACACATTTAGCCATTTAAACAAATAATGCCAAAAAAAAAAAAAAAAAAACTAGTTTATGAAAATATATAACACATAGATTTTATCTTGTTTTAATTTAGATATTCAAGCAATATGCAGAAAATACCAGAGTTTAGTTTTCCCATTAAAACATAGCCTTTGGGATTTCACATTTATTAATGGGCACATCAATACAATGTGGCAGGATAAATAAATAAAACTTCAATGGGGAATCAAAACCAATTCATCTTTATATGCTTCAGTTACCTTTTCCTTATATTAATGTAAACATTAATTGTGATAAAATTGGTTATGATTCTGAGATGCCTGTTATACATGCTCTATTCTATTATTAAAGGAACTTGTCACATTTTCTTTGACAGGATGATGAGGTAAGGGAAAGCCGATTCAGCTTCACAGCCTATGGAATGGGACCATGTCTACAAGCAAAGGACGGCATGACTCCAAAGGGCCCCAACCACCCTGTCCAGGTAATGCCAAAAAGCCCTGATGAAATGAGGAAGGTCTTTATCGACCGGGCCAAGAAGATTGACACCATCTCCCGAGCCTGCTTCCCATTAGCTTTTTTGATTTTTAATATTTTCTATTGGGTTATCTATAAAATTCTTAGGCATGAAGATATTCATCAGCAGCAAGATTAAGTCTCTGGGGGCATGCAAGTGCAAATGGTCACTTCAGAAGAAAGTGTCTCTGCCATAGCTGTGTATGTGTATATGTGTGTGTGGTGGATAAATGATGACCATTGTATTAAAATGGCATATGGAAAAGATTCGCATTTTGGTTAGCTATGCAAAGTCATGAGAGATAAGATTCTTTTAATGAATATAAAATATTTATTAGGGGATTCTATTTCATATTAATTCTAGGTGATTTGTTTTTTCACAGTAAACCATGTAAGTGGAAGCTTTACTGCCAATGTGTTTATATGTTATATAATATCTCATAATAACAGACACGAAAACTACTTTGGAATTCCTTAATTTATAATTCAATGCTATTAAATCATACAAAAGCAAATTTTGCACAGTAAATTTTATGAAAGGAAAAGGGAGAAATTATAAAGCTAATAAAAACCAATAATTTGAGATTTAAAACTATTTTCTTATAGTATAATTATGAAATGGGAAAATAATTAGTTACAGTGGGAAATTCACTCATATTAATGGAGGATTGTACATATAAATACTATTTAACCAATATATGTAATTTTGAAAATTTTTAAATAAGAGCATGAAAAGACTTCAATGGTTTGGAATACTAAATTTAATTGTTTAGAATAATAAATTTTCCTCTGTGCAAATTTAAAACAAATAACATAAGAGATCGTGTTACAGTCACAATCTACTTTTCTTAAACTTTATATCTCTAGGAATGAAGGTGGAAATATGGAAAACAACTTTGTTTTCAAATAAGTATTATAGTTGTGTATTTTTAGTTATTGCCAAACATTGAACAATTCAAGCCAGCACCTTGTTTTTGTTAGACTTTTAATAGCTGCTTAACTGTGTGTGATTGTGTTTAATAATTTGATATAACTGAACAAAATTCAGTAAGACTTTTATATTTTAGTTTAGAACGTGACTTTAAAATTCAATGGGATTAAAGTATTTACATTTTGATAAAAATGAGTACAATGAAAACAAAAATGGATTCATGAAAGATTTTTTAATAAAAACAATTTTCCCAGAAATGTTTTATGGGTCTCAACTCCTATCTCCAAATATAAGGAGGGAAAGTTTTAATTTCAAATGATATAAGTAAGTCATTTCTATAAAGTGGGGACTGTTTTTCTATTTCTGAATTAATGATTTCAAAATCCAAGCCATTCGCAAGATGAAAATAATTTTAAATGAAATTTTTACGTAAAATTTTTCAGTGACCCCATGGGAGTACTTCAACAACAACAGAGCATTAGTAACTTGTTTTTTGCAGTGTAATTGGGTGCAAATGTATGATAGAGTTCTTGGTAAACAGAACCAGACTCTGACTCTTTTTCAGTTTTGCTATTTTTTTTTAACTATTTTTACCATAAATGTATTTGGGAAAGCTTTGGAATGCCTTTTAGGTATTTTAATTATTGGTCAGATGCACAAACTCAGTCTGCCAAATTATTCACAGAGAAAACTTTAAACACTAAGAAAACAATGAACTCAGATGTACAATAGAAAAGCCAGTTATTTAACGAGATGCTGTTTTCTGCCCTTCAACCACTCTCAAATTAAAAGCAAAAACTACCATTTAAAACTAAAACCTTTACAATGTTATTATACATCAGCTTATACAACTGTCATTTTTAAAAATAACATTTTAAAAAATAGTAAATGTTAAGCAGTTTTTACTAGTAAAATACCGAGTTCCTCTCCTTTATAAGTAACTTAAAACAACACTATAAGGAAATAATACTATGTTTGGCATTATGTACAAATGCCACAACTAAAAGAATTTGTTACTCCCTATGTACCCACGTTGAGGACTGTGCACGTGAAAATTAAACACATGCTTCTTCATTTGGTGTGTATTTAACAAAACCATGGAAACATATTCTTGTGCTAAAGATAGAGCAAGATATGTCATTTGTATTCCTTGAGAATTAGCAGGAGAGTTTGAGGTAATTATAAGCTACGTCATCTCGATGTGTCTCTGAAATACCTGAATATGTTTTTCTATACTTTCCACATCTTATTTCAAGTTTCCCAACATTGCTTAAGTGAATTCTGCCAGGAGCAAACAGAAATATAATAAATACAAGCATGCTTACTTCCAAAAGAAATTCACAGACATCACTTGTTTCCATATTTGAGAATATTAAAAATGTGTCTTTTTTAAATCTGAAATTTAGAAAGTGAAAATACCAAACATGAGACAATGTTGTCAACAAGGACGTTGGTGCATTAGAAGTCTATCTCAAAAGTATTGTACTTTCCTTAGGCATAGTTTTCCTTTCCTATTACATTTGTCACTATCTTACTGCACTAAGAAAATACTTTAACAGCTTTCACTCACAAGGCAACAGTGACAAGGCACATGTGGCTGAATCCAATATGTTTAAAGGAATGTGTCTCCTCCGATGAACTCTTATTGACCTTTTAAAACTGAAAAATTACATCGCAATTAGCATCCTGAGATAATATTTGCCTCGGTAATCCCTGTGTCCAACCAGAATATTTCAAATCAAACCAACCAAAAAATTATCAATGACAAGAAATTAAAAATGTGTGCATATACATTAACTACTCTACACACAAATTGGAATTCCAGTGTGCATATTCTGAAGTATTTTTAAATAGCCACATTAGAAAATACGGGATTTTTCTGTATGCAGTTTATATCATTTTCTTAAAAAGCATTATTTGTATCTCAATCATTGAAATATCTGGTTCCATAGCATATGAATTTATAGGCTATTTTATACATTAGCATGTATAAAATACATTAGCATGTTCTCAACCTTTTCTTTCTTTCCCAACCATTAGAATTAGACTTAAACCATGAGGCTCTAGAACTTACTTTACAACTTTAAATAGATTCAAGAATCACTGTATTTGCAAGAAAGCTGAGGGTGTTTAAAACTTCTCTAACCCTTCCAAAAGTTTCTCCATGGCACTTGCCTGGAGAGCCCATCCAACTCTTGGTGGCTATATTAGGGAATCAACCAGGCTGTTCATCTTATTCTAGAATGAATTCTTATTCTGTTGATATATTCCAATAACTTTAATCTTAATTTGCAATTACAAGTGCTTGTATATTTGTGTATCCCTAAGACATGAATTCATGTATTAGTTTATGAATACCCAGGATCTCATGGAAGGTAAGGGAAATTTTAGAAAAAATAATGAAGAAATGATCTAAATGTTTAACTAACAGAAGAGAGCAAGCTGTTCACTATTTTAGTACTCAGTGCAACTTAAGTGGTTATAATATTTGAAAAAAGATTTAGATGTATCTTGCATACTATACACCCCTTTTTCTGAACATTTAATTCCACTTTTTAAAATATGCTTTTCTATTTCTCTCAACACAACATACTTCAACCTGCTGGTTACTTGGGAGGACTGAATATTATACTGGCAGCTAAATTTTTCTTTCATCTATAAAGTACACATTCCAGGAAATGGACATGAAAGAATACAAGAGACTTGCCAAAATTGACATAGAAAATACTTGCCGTATATTGTAAATGGAAAACAAAGAAACTGACAACACCACGATTCACAAGGGTCCCATAAAAATTTACAACACTCTAATAACAAAATTCTGAGAACAAAAATGTATCCAATGATCCTTAGACAGATAGCATTAACAGTCTTTGAGGTCATGATATCTTCTACTCCAAAAGTGATTCCACACTCTTTGCAACATAGATAATAGCATAAACTCCCAAAATTCATCAGTATATATGACCTGTATTTTTCATCTAGTTAATATTGAACTAGCAAAGAAAAGCAAACCATTCCAAATATAAGACAATCTGGTGTTAATACAATATATTAGAAGACATAGTGTATATGTTCACACGGATTGCCTCTTGCGAATAAAACACCCATAATACCCATTGTATCTTGTTCCTGAATAAGAGACATCTTCCTCAGGAGATACATTGGTTTTTATTTTCTTATTTGTGTACTACAGTGGTAAACATAGCCATTGCAATTTTTTCATTGCTATATAAACTTTGCATGAATAAATAAGCAGTGTATACTGTAAATTGCATTAATTTAATTAACTTTAAAATTAAACTTTTATCTCAGCCCCCCCTCCTCTTTATAAACATACTGATATTAAAAAGTGAACTTCCATAGGGAGACACCTGGTACTCCAATTACTTAAAAAGTAAAGTGATGCATATTCTTCCATAACAAAGATACTTACAGGCCATGTGTAAAATATAACTCCCTACAATTTAAACGGAACTAGGACAGGGAAAAATATCCTGGGGAAGCTTCTTTGAGTTCTAAGGCCAAGAGATACAATCCAAAGTTAGTAGCTAGGACCCACTTACCTGTTTTTTTTGGTCTACATTTTACATCTTAATAATGCCTTCATCTCTTCCCTTTCCCTCTCACTCTCTCTCTCTCTCTCTCTCTCACACACACACACACACACACACACACACACACACACACAGGTAATGAGATGAATTCTTTCAGATTAAAAATACAAAGACAGAAAATTTTCCTAGACAAAGGTTCATAATCCCGTGACATGTTTTGCAATATTAAGTCATTGCTGGTGGAAAATATGAACCATGCAGTCATTCGATTTGGCCAGCTCTTGATCATGCAACAATCTTTTGCCTCAAAAACACATAAACAAAGCTAACTGGATCAAGTCTTTAACCCTTAACAATCAAATTCTAAAACACTATTTGAACCATTTTTGAAGAACAGCTAAATAATTGTCAGAAAGCTTTTTCAAAAGACAGCTAATAACATAGGATGACTTTGTAGTGTCTGAAGAGGTGGTTTTCTCAGTACTTTTGATGGTTAACATGTAAACAAAGAGGAGAAATTTAAGGTGATAGAGTATTATTTTTCAAAAGTGATTCTGAACCCTGGCTATGTATTGGAATTCCTTACACATTTTAAAAATACATACATATGCTTGGTATCCAATATAGAAGATTATGATTTAATCACTGATTAAACAAATATTCATTGAGTACCTTATGTGTGCCTGGCACTGTCCCAAGTGCTAAATTTATTATCTTTGGAATAAGATATGAAATTGTGGATGATTGAAAAAATTCCCAAACCGAGAGAATTGATGTGAGCTTACACAAGCTTGTTCTCTTAATAAGGATCAATTTAACACTTTTTAAGTTTTATAATTTTTTCTTTCTTCATGTAACTAATTTTAGTTGTCTCTCATTTATATTCTTAGAATTAAAAATAGACCCAGCCCGGTGGCTCATGCCTGTAATCCCAGCACTTTGGGAGGCCGAGGCAGTCAAATCACTTGAGGTCAAGAGTTAAGACACCAGTCTGGCCAACACGATAAAACCCTGTCTCTACTAAAAATACAAAAATTAACCAGGCGTGGTGGTGGGTGCCTGTAATCCCAGTTACTCGAGGGAGGCTGAGGGGGAAGAACCACTTGAGCCCAGGAGATGGAGGTTGCAGTGAGCCAAGATCGCACCACTGAACTCCAGACTGGGTGACAGAGTGAGACTCTGTCTCAGAAACAGACAAATGAAAAAAGAATTTAAAATAAACCTTTGATGTGTTTCAGTTCAGCTTTCCTCCCAATGTCAGAATCTTCGCTATTACATTATCCACATTCTCCGAGCACCCAAAGAGCAACTGGTAGCTCATTACTCTGAGGACAGTCTTCTGTTCCATTGTGGCATAACTCTAGAAGATAAAAATGTTAATCTTCATCAAAAAATGACTTTTGCTTCCTAAAATACCAAGTAAGTTTATTGCCCTCACGTAAGACAACCAGCATATATTTTCACATTTCTGTTGTCTGCGTTTAAGTTCAATCAACCCCTTATCACTAGCTTTATTCTTACTTAAACCATTCATGAGAACATTGTAAGTGTTAAACAATGATGACACATTTTCAGGCTTATAAAATAATGAAATATAAAATGAATTATCTACATAGATAAATAGAAATTGATGAAAATTTCTGTGTACATTATTTT